AGTACGGTCAGCCCATTCATTAGTTAACGTTCCCCGGACGAAAGAACATAACTACATTTCAGCGTGGCAAATTCTCCACCCCACGGAAAAAAGTGTTAAGGGTTATCCCCTAAAATTATGGCACTACCCCAATTTGTTCGATGAAATGGACATTTCTTACGAATTTACCGAATTTAGGTAGTACCGCGACTCAGGTTTGGATAGTGCCGTAACATTTGGGTTAGTAACCTAATTGATTGGGGTACTACCTACCTTATTTGACCTTATGAACAAAAATTTCAAAATTTCATAATCCTATACCATTTTTGATTATTCTTTTTTAAATTTTGCACCTTTGGAATGGAAGTATGTTCCCTCGCGTGGAAGACGACGGTGCATGTATGATCATGGTCAGCCCCGCCTACAATATTTTTCAAAAAATTCCAAGTATGACTGACATAGATATAATTTGAGCAATATCAAGGTCGTTATGACCAAAGGCAGGCAATCCTACTACTCGCAGTGAATCTGGGAGTTTTTGAATGTACTTATTTATTTTTATTTCAAAACTAAAATCGATCCAGTACCACTGTAACTAGCAGCTCTGGATTTTTATTTCAGGCGATATATTTAATCGTCAAATGTGTTTATTAAGAACATAAAGAGGGGGAGGAGGTGTCTGTGTAATTTTTGTATCTTTACTAGGGCAATTATGAAGAAAAAATTTGACGCCCACGGCGAGGAATAACGTGTTACTAAAGATTTATGGCGAGGCGTGAATGCTCGATTATCGATACCTCCCCGTTTGAAGCTGTGGTAAAGAATCGATCATTAAAGTGTCCGTTGACAACACCTTGTAAATCGATCCTTTCCCATAGCTTTACATGGCAGATCAATCTATTTATCGCAAAGAACGCCACGCCACTGCTAACGATCAGTAGCCATCCGCCTTAATGTCTTCTAGCGTCTGAGAGTACACCCGTAAAAGAGACGAGGAGCAAGGTCTTTTGCCCCTTAATCATAGGCTGCACGTTTTTGAGGTCCATGCCATCCACCTGCTATGCCGTGCTAAGAAAAAACGTCGTATGAGATTCACATTTTGCCAAATCTCCTCTGATTAAACATTGATTTCAGAAGAAAGTTACAAATGTTTTTTCTTGAAATTTTTAGATGGCCGAAAAAAAACACTGCGGATTAAAATCTCTTGAAATTTTGAAGCTGAAAATTGATAAAGTCCCCAGAAAATTCATGTTTTTTAGGGAAAATTTTGTTTGCAGGGGAAGTCCACTTACGGCGTTTCACCTCAGAACTACAGTACTGCTGTGCTAAGGAAGAACGCCGTATGAATCATCAGACGTTGCAAAATTTCCTTCAACAAATCAAAAATTTTCAGGGAAATTTTTGAATTTTCTTCATATTAAATTCTAGGCCGCCCCGTTAGTCTGTGGAAGAAGTGCCGCGAAAAGGACCTAAGGGAAGGGTTTTGGTCAAAGTTCTTGAGAGCTAGTAAAGACAGCGTTTCAAAATAGAGGGCTGAACACCATTTGGACATGGAGCACTGATGCAAGTCTTATCAACGGCACTGAAAATATGTGTTTTTTTTTCATTCTTATGGCATAGCTTAGGAAAAAACGCAGTATAGACATTTTAATGTTACCAGACCTCCACTGATAAACATGAAATTTTCGGAAAACTGTATGCGTATTTTTTCTTAGAATTTTTTACAGGATCGCATTGATAATTAAGTCTGATCTATAATTCATTGAATAAAGATAGTTTTAGCCTTTCTCGAAAACAGATTGTTTGCCTGCAGAAATTTTGTATCGTCCGAATTTTCATACGTTATGCGCCGTCGTCTCCCGCACGTAGAAACGTAACTCCATTGACGTAACTCCTTTGGTTGCAAATTGACATTGCCATTGGTGACTCAAACAATTCAATTTTTTACGAGAATGTAATCGTGCAATTGTTGTCTAAATCAATTTCGATTTTTGCGTGAGATTTGAAGAAAAATTATTTAAACTCTCATCTAGAAACGCCCAGGATTTTCCTGATAACTACGCAATTTACGAAAGGTTTGCTATATCGAGATGCAGTTACGTTCCTTCGTAAGGGAAACGACACTCTTTCAATGTTAAGGTATTTTTCCGTAGCACGTCAGTAGAGTGATAAAAGTGGTCGGGTTTTTAGACGATCTGACTATCTAGCGCTCGCGTGCTCGGATTTTTGAAGATGGATGGAGATGGTTATTAAGTTGAATCTGCGAATGAAGTCAGTCGTGGGAATTAAGTGACAGTAAGGTCGTTCGTTCTTCGTTCCGCTTCTACCGATGGCGTCGGCGTTAAATGCGAGGCGTCGCACAAAGAAACCCTTTTTTAGCGCTATGGAAACCCCTGATTAAGAAACCAGGAATGCCCCCCTTTACCACTTCGCAGCCCACCATTCCTTGAGGCCTGGATACACACGGCGATTAATCGCCGCGAGTAGGGGCTAGAGCCAATGAGAAGCCTTGATTTCGATCCATTGACGTCAATGGATCGAAATCAAGGCTCTCCATTGGCTTTCGTCTTTTACTCGCGACGATTAAACGCCATGCGTATCTAGGCCTTTAGACTTAATATGTCGCCCTTCTGACGTAAGGGCATAACTGCACCATGCAATGTACCCTGTCGTCCGTACAACGTAATGCTTTTCGGGGCTCATCTCGATATGTATTTACGCCCTTTTGTCAGCCGGGTGACGAATATGCTGTCAAAGAGTCAACTCGTAGAAATTAAAAGCCCGGATAATAATTCCAAAATTCAAGGGAAGCATGGGGTCTAGAGATTTTAAAATTGCTCGAACTATCATGGAAATTGACTCGGTGGATCTGTAGAAAGAATTTGACCGCGTTAAGCAGAAAGGAACTGAGCCACATCAGCTATTGTCAAAATTTGGGAGATTACATTTTTTACATGGAAACGGTTGTGCGTATTTTTGTGGAAATTTCAGTTAATTGTATGCATAATATAAAGCAAAATCATTAAAATTTTCAAAGAAATCCACGCAAACGTTTTTTGTAAACACTAAAGTTGCCCGATTAAATTTGGCAATGGGCCTGTTGCAAACTTTTGCTAGAGCAAAAATAGGAGTTGTTTCTTATAGATAATGCCTCAAAAATCACGATGAGCGCATCGGCAAAGTCTGAAATGCACTCATAACTTCACAATCTGCGTAAGAAATTTGCGTTTTTTTAAGCTTCCCGCTTCAAAAACGATACTACGGCATAGGTGAACATTTTGTTAGAGGAGTCGCTCCATCGTCGGCGATATTCATCATGGCCGACGCTTGCACGCAGTTCCGCGCGTAATTCAAGGAGAGTTCAAGGACAATCAATTCGGGCGTGGAAAATATGAACGTTAACATACCGATTGTTATCTGGTCTAATCCAGTTCAGGTGTTATCTCGTCCCATCAAACGTGTTTTGGCGGATTGGCGTCGGCTATGATGATTATTGCCGACGATGGAACGACTCCTCTTACAAAATGTTCACCTGTACCGTAGTATCGTTTTTGAAGCGGGAAGCTCAAAAAACCGCAAATTTCTTACGCAGTTTGTGAAGTTATGAGTGCATTTCAGAGTTTGCCGATGCGCTCATCGTGATTTTTGAGGCATTATCTGTAAGAAACAACTCTTAGTTTTGCTCTAGCAAAAGTTTGCAACAGGCCCATTGCAGATGTGACGTTCCTCTCACGTCTCTACACGTGGGCCAATTAGACAAGAATTTTTGAGGACTCGGACTACTCGGAGACGTTTACTCGATGATAATTCTTCCTCTGTTTTGTGATATTTAATTTTAAATTTGGAAAAATTAAGCGGTAAAATTATCGTAAATTCTGGCATTCAAAACTATTATAAATAATTTTACGATACTATGTGTGATAACAGGACATCGAAGACTCTTAATCAGTAAGCCGACAATGAAAAATTATCCTTATTACAATTCTAGTTTAAAAAAAAATTCATATCCTTTCCCCCATTTTTCGTTTTCCCCCCCCGTTTTTCTCTGTTTTTTCGTGTCACATAAGGGAAAGGGACACTATGCCACTGATCACAAGACTCGACTGTGCGATAAAATAATCAGCAGTGGATTTTCGTTTTCGAACTGATTGGAGAGTTTAAGAACGGTATAACCAGTTTTGTTGCCGTCTGAGCCCTGATTATACAGTTCACGATCCATTGCTGCGATGGTTGCCTACCATTAAGGCGCGGTAAGATGACGATCCTGGAATTTTCTTCTGCCTTATTCAAGCTTAGCTGAACGGAACGGAATGATTTTTACCTTTTCAAGATTAAATCCAAAACAATTTATTGTAAATACAATATTTGTAAGGAAAAAAGGTGCTCAGTGAGCACTGCTCACAAAGTCCTGATAGTCTTAAAATTAAAACAGTTCAAAAAAGTTTCCATGTTGCAGATTTTATTATATTATCATAAAATTATGACCTACGTATTGATGATTAATGAAAAGAAAAATTTGCCGGATAGAATTTTTTTACGAGCTGTTTAGGCTCAGGGCCAGAGAGTAAAGCCCTTCGGAACATCTACCCTAATTAGGACGTATTCCCGCTAAACGGAACCAGAGACAGGTGGAAGAAGAGGTGTGCTCGTCACTTTAAAGGCTGTAAGAATGAATGGGAACTATAAAGCGCCAGTGACGTCAGCGGCGACGACGGAGCTGACATGCCACGATCCGACGACACATTAACTCGTGAGTCCTGACCACAACGCTCTTGTCACACGCCCACGGCTCATAAGTGCTGTATACAGTTGGCACTTATAGTTCCGCTTTTCCATACCCTTAAAGAAAACCACGTCCACTTATCCATCGTTTCTTATGTAGCTTCAACGAGAACATCCCCATCTTTCCCACTTATCCATAGTTCCGTTTAGCAGTAACACGTCAATTAAGAGTTATATATTACCGATCCATTGAACTGCTCCGACTAAATTAAAGTGAAAATCGCCAAAATTTAAATTACCTGAGCCATCTGTAGAATAGAGTGAATGGGATGACAGCACGGCCAGCTCTTTTGAAAGCAGGATACAGCAGCCAAAAAGTGAGGAATCCACTGACGGTGAAGAAAGTATCAACTAATTGAGTACTGATGATTGTGATGCTGGGTCCTAGGTAATCCTGAAACGTTGGAAAATACATGCATTGACTAAAGTTCCTGACTTGTTGACAAGTGTACCATTTAAAGTCAGAATACGCCAACCAGCGAAAGAAAATTCCGATGATAGCGTTATGCATTCCTTGAATTGATCATTCTTTTTTGAAGCCGCCGCTTGCAATTTTTTGTGGATTATTGCATTCCACTGCACAATGCACCTACGCACAAACAATTGAAGGATCGAATTTTAACTATTTCGGGGCATGTATGAACTTTTTAAATATTACACATGACTATTATACAAGTCAATTCTTATACATGTGTACAAAAATAATACGCAACTTCAAATTGTTTTGTCTATATTTTAAGTAGCATGTTTACAGGAAAATTTGCCGTGAAGTTTTATTTTTTTATGTTTTTCCATTCATTATTTATTTTTTAATAATATTTCTATAAAATTAAAGTTGGAGGTATTTATGCTATTAAGAGCTATATTGCACGCAAATCCTATGCTTATAGTCTTTTATACAGCCCAATTTTCGATCAACATTTTCTCAATTCGCCACTTCTGCAGATATTTCATGTAAAGATAGAAAATGAAGCAGATAACGGAAATCCAGAATCAATCAATCAGAATCACGGAATCAATCCAGAAATCACAAATTCATCCCAAAGTATCTCTATAATATCATCGCTTTAAATGAGAGGATAGGCAACATGCAAACACAAGTAACAGTCGTGATAATTTAGCAACTTCTCCGTAACTTCCTCACGAAGGTAAACTACCTGAAATCAAATTATTGGAATTTGACGATCCGATTGCTACTCAATCAATGTGATATCTGGGATAACGGCGTCAAAACTGCGTCAAACTACCGTCGTCGGTTTGATATCACATCAAACCGAGGGACAAAGTAAAATCGATGTGAGCCGTAGAATTCTTTTGGGTGAAATAATGTCAATGGTTACGTTGAAAAAGGAACGTTTTAATAGGAAATTGAAAATAAACCTCACTTCTTTGCATTTCGAAGTAGTCATAAGGGCGTAAATTAATCAATTAAAAATTATGTTGAGAACTATGCCAACTCGACTAGTACCTACCGAAGACTTGGAAAATGGACCTCTCAATTAGAAACACAATTACCATGCCAATTCCGCGGTAATTAATCCAACGTGTCGAATCTAGAAATTATGGTCGTACCGTTCCTTCTTCCTCTGGTATACGCGTGCAAGAAGGCAAGATTTTGGTTAGTCACGAATTCTTGAAAACCCGCAGGTGCTAAAATTCTGTGATTTTATGATTAGAAAGTATCTGTGCGCGTAAAAATCCGAATGACATGGCATTGGGTCATGCTAAAAGCATTTTCAATCCGACCGATCGTTTTATTTGGACATATTTCTGTCAAACAGAACTATGTGCATTAAGACATGAGCCCTGAGACCCATAAGAATACATGCATAACAGGACTCACGTCATAATGCACATACTTCCCTTTGGCAGGAATACGTCCATTTGTGGACCTAAGCCCTTTAATATCACATTTGGGCTTAAAGTCAGGGTCAATCACTGAACTCACTGATGCCTCGATATTTGTCACTCGAATGTTTTTTCCTCCCGCGCTTAAGAGTAACATTTTACTTAAATCCTTGACCGATGTACAACAGTGCTAAGGAAAATCGCCGTTTGAACCTTCAGGCGTTGCCAAATTTCTCTTAGTAAATCACGAATTTTCTGGAAAATTTGTTGACATTTTTCTTTTAATTTTTCAGATAATTTTGTTCGCAATTTCACCTAAAGTTTCTAAAAAAATTTGAAGGAAAAATATTTGTAGTTTTCCTAAAAAAAAAACATTTTATCGAAGGAAATCTGGCAACTCTCGAATGTTCATACGGCGTTTTTTCTTAGCACGACAGTACAGTTCTAGGCGTTCGAAATGATCGGAATTTTCCGGCGGAAAGATATATGCATTGAAAATTCGTATTTTTGTTTAGTGTTTCGTTCAGGCGTCAGAACGTCATATTTAATGTGAAGCGCACGGATTGAGTCATTTACATATGCAGATAAACATAGGCGGATTGAAATACTTCTGCGAAAGAAAAGAACGGCTCCTTTGGCGTGACAAAGCATGGCAACGGTTTAAGAGGTGTTAATTATTCATTGAGGATACTAAAAAATAAACAAGCGTACTTGATTCTTATGATTAAATTATTTTATTATCAGCACAATTATTAACTATCTTGGCACAGCTATTCCGCAATGTAATTGTTGTGCACCAAAAAGGCTTTAATGTGATCCTCAACTGTTAAGGGAAGGTTTTGATGCCATATTCTCTCAGAAGAATTCCTCAGTTAAAAAAAAAGAGAACCTGATATATTTCGGCCAATACCCGCCAGTGGCGTGGCGTGAATTGCGATGTATCGATTGTTATGCCATTTAAACCTATGATAAAGAATCGATCATTAAGGTGTTCGCTGCGAACACCCTGTTTATCGATCCTTTTCCACAGGTTTAAATGGCATAACAATCGATATATCGCAATTCACGCCACGCCACTGATACCCGCGATTGTATGCGAGCATCAAAAAAACTACAAGTTCCCACGTTAATTCCAACCGAGCCGTCCATTTCCGCAAAGCTGAACGGCAAAAGTTCTGGCTTTTTATTTGTCGAAACTATTTTGAAAGACAAACATGTTAATTATGTCGAGAAGAAAACTGACAAAAATATCTCATCAACATTTTCTGTGGTCATCTTTAACAGAAACAAAAAAATTCACGAAACTTTCCAAAAAAATAAATTTGGTCCGTTCAGTTCAAATAAAACAATAAAAGCTATATGGAGCGTTGCAATCGGAGCTTTCCGTTTTTCGAGTTTAGCTAAAGATATATTATAATAACGGCAACGCTCAGTATTAAAATCAGAGGGTCCATCCAAGGAAGGATGAGTATTTTACCGTCCTATTGAAATTCCTTGCAAAATTTCGTTGTTCCCTTTTATCGCAGGTCATAAATTTTATCATGCCGTATGCCACGTAGTCGGCGAAAGTACAAAACCACGTGTCTCAATTGCGGTGTTTCAAAATCTCCGCTCCTATTTTGTTTTTTGAAGAGAAACAAGCTAACTTCATAGCTTACAATTTATACAGAATATTCTGCTGGCATAGAAGAAAAATCGAGGAAGTGTTCAAGAAATTAAGTTGAATAACATTCCGCTGAACATATAAACTTTGAATGGAAATCTGCGACATCGCAAACGGAGATACGTGGTTTCTGCACCTCGTAATGCTTGCTTACCTTTTCAATGTTCCCGGCATTAGAAACGGCTGATCCAAGAGTGAACATGAGCCGGTGACCGAAAATGATCATGACCATGCTGATGAATTTGAGACCGTCCAGTCCGTTGAGGTTTGTGCCACCACCGTTATTCGTGAGACTCCTGAAGCTCTTCACCATTGAGAAACCCATCATGATTTTCCAGAAAGTGCCACCTGAAAATCGATTGCTGTCAATTAGAAGCTCATATAGTCTTATTCCTTGGATCAAGTTCGACAGACACACACAAGTCGCGTTTTGAAGAAGAACGATTAAGGAGTAGTTTCGGATGTTACTTTTTTTTGTGCCAAAAATAACTAAGGACAGAAATGCTTAAATTTCACGGAATTTTCACTGTGAAGTCTATATTCCTCAACAAAATAAAATATGCTTTACCTGTCTCACTTGCTAGGTTAATACAGTTATAGGGCATAAATGTGAATGAAATTCTAATGTAACCTTAACTGTATAGTGATAGTAACGTGAAAGCATTGCTTTCAGCATGAATTATCGTGATTAAAGTTACTCATATGTTTTGTGGATACCTTGATAGGTTGATTCCGTATGAATCAGAATGTGGTGATAGCCGGTCACAACAATGCTTATTCCAGTCAAAACCAACAAAAAGGTCCTGAAACAAAGTAAAAAAGTCTATCAAAAATTTTGAGAGTTTAAGATGTACTGAGAATATGAAAAAATCACTGATTTTCATGTGATGATAAAAATTTCAACTTTAAATAGTCGCGTTATGAGTAAACTGACTGCAAGCGTTTCTAGGGACTGGAAATAGGAAATAACCAATCACCTATAGTCTCAAATCAGGCAGATTTTGGAGCGGTGAATTAGCGTTGATGTCGCTTTAAACGCATCAGTGAACGAAATGAAGATGTATGAAACAAGCATCGCTGATTCAGAAATGGCTTCAAAAACCTGATCTAACAATGGTACTCAAGGCCTGATTAAAGTCGCGGCACTTGTCTCAAGAGGTGTAAATAACAGCAAAGAAGGCCTCGCGAAATTACACGCATTGATTGAATGAATTCCTGCTTCAGAAACGCCAACGAAAAAGGACGATATTTTGAACTACTTTGATGAAACGATTCCTGCTCAACGGATTCTGTAATGCACAACAACGCAGATAATTGCAGATGCACTGCAGAGAGTTGCAAAGGGACTACACTACATTGATGAAAATGCCCTGATACAACTATTCGTACTCCATGGATGTCCGATTTGCATACGCAAATAATTGAAGGCGCTTTAATATTCTTGACCGCACACCGCGCCGCGCTGGCAGGCACTTTAACCAATAGGATCACTCGTTTTAGGACTTTTTGTCTTCTTTACATTTCTTTTCGTCGATCGATTATTGAAATCGATAATCAGCCCGCAGGTTGCGGTAAACTAGAGAACAGTATTTTGTTACATTAAAGCGTATATGTATATTGTACACATATACATTTAATTGTCTTAAAAAGGGCGACATGAATAATAACTTGAGTAGCCAATTGGTGTCCTGAACTGCCGTGCCAAGGAAAAACGCCGTACAAGCCTTCAGGCGTTGCCAAATCTCTTTGATAAATCACCAATTTTCAAGAAAATTTGTGCATATTTTTCTTCCAATCTCTCAGATAATTTGTACGCAATCTGATCTGAAAAGTCCGGAAATGTCAAGGAAAAACATTGATGATTTTCCCCAAAAATAAAAATATTATCGGAGGAAACTTGGCAACTCTCGAATGCTCATACGGAGTTCTTCCTTAGCACGGCGGTGTATGTAGTTGATGTCTGGTATCACGTGGAATTGAAGGGGCTTTTTCCATTTGCCACTTTTCAAAAAACTCGAATATTTCATCCGTGAAGAAGTCTTCCTACATAAAACATGCCCTGGAAAAAAAACACATTGGATCTATAGTCCAGACTCTTAAAAACATCGACAAGAAAAAATACTCTTGATTCGATCAGATTTAAGCTTAAATCAAGAACCAAGCCTCTTAATTTGAGCGGATTTCCTTTTGATTTAAGCTTAAATCTGATTGAATCAAGGGTCCTTTTTCTTGTCAATGTTTTCAAGAGTCTGGACTCTAGATCCAATGTGGTTTTTTTTTCCAGTGTGACGGTTTTGTGAGCTTCTTGGAGCTTTGACGATGGTCAGAAAACAGTGTCCCGAGAGGAGAACCTCGGCGAAGCGTATCAATTTCGACGGGAGTAAGTAATCGGAAGGAGTCGGACCCCGCGCCGGAGTGACCGCTCCTCGGCCATGCAGACAGTGTCAGTTTTCAGTTTTCATAAGATGCTCGTGGCACGCGAAGAGTAACTCCTCTTAATTACGACGACCGCGAGGAGAAGCCACGAGGAGCCCCATTATCCTTCTCGTTATAGGGTCGCCGGAAGCGATTTCCGCGCATTTGAAATTACCGCATCGCCGATTCCGCGCAACTTTATCGCCAAGCGTAGGAGGAGTCCATACTTTTCCTTTCCCTGAATACTTTGTGAGCAAAAAGGACTCGGAACCAGAGATAACGTATTTCAAGTAAAGGGAAGTATATGAGGCCTTATCTGTAACAATGGCGGTTGTAAAAAATAACCTTTTCGAAACACGCTTAAAATACTGTTTTGGTCACACAAAAATTAAATATGTTTGCCTCTGGCGTAATGTACAGATCTCGAAGATCACATCACAAGTATTTTCTCAAGATGTTCTCGATGCCGAAACGGTTTTTTGAGCGTGTTTCAAAAAGGTAATTTTTCACATCCGCCATTGTTACATATAAGTCCTCATATAGCTCCGCGTAGAGTACCTAAGTAGGGAGAGTATGGACAACTCGAGTTATGTAGATCTTAGGGCCCAAAAGGGCAGGTAACCTTTGAAAACGAAAAATGTCACTGTCAATCTTTAGACTCCAAGATCAAACGAAAGTGAACAAGAAAATTCAAAAGTAAGCATTCTTCCGCAAAAATGAGTAAGTTCATCCAAAAACCAAGTCAAATACGTGCTTTACCAACGAGAGTTCCCAACAATTGTGATTATAAATCACTCTGAATATTTTGAATTCATAGATTGCCTACCCTCATGGGGTCTAAGAGCTCCATCACCTAACCTCAAAATATTCGACATGTCCATACTCTCCCTATATATGTACACTCTAGCTCCGCGAGTTGGCTGCAGGGCCGGATTTAGGGGGTGGCCACATGGGCAGCGGCCCAAGATGGCAAATTTAGGGGGCGGCAAATTTTGCAATTTTTTTAAATGTAGGTAAAAAAAAAATCGGATTCAGAAAAAAAATTATCAATAAGAAAAGAAAACAAAATCTCTTTTTCCTGAGAGTATAGTAATTTTTAATTTTGTCGTTTTTCGGTGATACAAGAGACAGTATCTTTAATTAGTCGAGTTCAGAGAGGAACAAAACACGCAATTTGGCCTAGAGCTCGGCGCAGAAAGAAATGATGACGAGGACTTGAGATGAAAAGGACAAGCCCTCGGCGCGGCGGTCGGCATATAACACATATTAGCGCCTACAAGACTGCATGAATACTTCACGCATCGCGTCAAAGATAGTGCGGTCAGGAGCGGTTAGCGTGAAACGCATAGCTCCTACATGACTGCAGGAATACTTCACACATTGCGCCAAACACATTATCTTATTTATCACTAACAATAGAAAAATCAGAGGCTCAGTTAAAAGTGGAGTTTCCGGGGGGATTAGACTAAAAAAAGCGAATATATTGGGTTTTCCCGGCCGATCCGATGGTGCTCGCAAAATACCACCTTTTTATGCCGAACAACTAAGTTAAAGTCCTGCACTTTTCCCGTATGATTTTCTCCCTCTAATTATTTTCTTAACGATCCAAAATTATAAAAATAACACAAATAAATGGTGCTGCTTTCCTCGCAAAAATCAAATTCGCAAAAAATTTGAAACTACAGTAACCGAAATTATGTGGAGATTCTCCATTACAAGAACATGAAATTTACATGATAAATCGACAGTTTACAAAATTCCATCGAGGAAATATCCCGGCACATGCGTGTTCCAAATTAGCACAATAATTTGGAGTCATATTTTTCCGTTCTCTGCCCGCCTTTTCCTCCTTTCCTAGTGGATTTACGTATCGTAATGATACAAACACTTGCACCTAAAAAGAGGTTCCGAACGTATTAATTTGGTAAGAACAATCCCAGGGTATCGTTGACGGGTTGACGGTCGTAATTTGTGGTTTGCGCGTGCCTTTGCCAATTCGAAGGTCAGTTAAATCGCGTTTGGAAATATAGATTAACCGACTCACGCCACTCACACTCAGTCACACGTCCCTATTTAGATGGCGCTCATGCTCGTGGTCGAAGAAGATTAACATTAAATAGAAGGTGTTGTCGAACTGTACTCAAGATATTAACTTGAGATTTACAAGAGATTTAACTTGGTCTTATGGCGGAGAGCTTCCCTTACTTTGACCTTCCGCAAATAATCTGAGTGGCGTCAAGGTCATTTATAATACTATTGTGGAAGTTACTATTATTATACCCCTTATTTTGCTTGGTTTAAGAGGTGTAATTTTAGCTACATTTATTATGGAAAAAAAAGAAAGTTTGAGCCGATAATATATTCGCGGTCGAAATATTGGTGCCACTGCTTTCAGGAGTTTTATGAGTCTCTTGGCTCCATAAACGTCCGAAAGTGTCAATTCTAATTATTTTAGTCACGACAGGTTTGGAGCTTGCTTTTTGAAAAACGCAATTTTCAGAGAATTTTGAATTATCCTTTTGTTCGAGCTTAAAATCGTAGGATCGAAATGCAAAATTACTGCCGCTGTTAATATTATAAACGAAGCCGTCCGTCAGTATTTTTGGAGATACTAGACTATTTTCTGTGTTAAATTGAAGTTTGGATCTCAAACAGAGCCTTGCTTTCTAGAAAAAAGCTCCCCTGATAAAATTGCCTCCGTTCGTTAAGGTCTCTCCCTCCTTGAACAAGCACGATTTAAATGTGATTTAATACGCTTTCTTATTTTTTTTTTTTTCATTATTTGAAGAATCACATTATTAAAAATAATTCAATATTCCGCGTTAACTTTTATGTTGGGACTTCTTGGAGGCATTTGAAGGCTATTACGCATTCTAGCAACGGAAGTGGTACGATAGCAATTTATAATGCGGTGCACATAAAATCTATGTAATTATACCTAACATCCCCTTACTTACTGTTTTATCTTATTGAAGCATGGCCTGAGTCGCAACCATTACTTATATTTGAAAAATCGTCTAACAGCTCAACTTTTGTTTTCATCATTATGAGTAGCCGAAATACGAAAAATCCTATCATAAAATTTAAGTTTTATGATTGCTTTTATAAAGGAAGTATCACGGAAAAATGAATTTGAGTAACCGTTAAAAGGGAGTACAGAGCCTTTGCCCCCATCGCGAAATGTACAAGGAAAGATGTCCGAATGGCTTGATTACCAGCATTGGCGTTAATAACGAGAGGCGAAGAATCATAATTACGGATAATTTTCGTTATGAAATGTTACCATTACAGTAAACAGAACAAGGAAAATCGTTTTTACTAAGTCGTACGAAATTAACGCCTGTCAGTCAAAATTATCTTGTTAAGAATAAAGCAACATTAAAGAAGTCATCATTAGGAATGAGAAACTAATGTCGAAAATGGTTTTAAAAAAAGCAAGCCCTCTGAAGTTCCTCAGAGTCATTTATCTAACAAAAGCTTTGTCTTCCCGAATCTGAAAAATTTAAAATTTCCTATGACTCATTTATCGAAGAGGAGCCGAGTCTCTTAAAAAACCAAACCCATGCATGTAACTAAAACGTAATTTTATTAATTCAAGGTCGGTGATCACACTGGTCATATTTAGGGCAATATACTTCGAAACAAAGACTACACATTTTCATAACGATGGCCAAAATGCGAAACCACGTATGTCGGTCTGCGATAATACAGACTTCCTGTAATACTCAATATTTTGTTAGGAAACAACACAACGTAATTTCTTGGAAACTTGATTTGGAAATATCAGAATGGATATGCGTGCGGTTTCACACTTTGGCCGTCGATATAAAACTGCGTTATATTTCGGCAGTCCGTGAAGTTTTCGGGTCAACATACTCATGACGATTATGTCGCGAATGTCATCTAAAGAATATCCGAGCTGATTCATGGTTTATTCATTTTTCCTCAGCCAATAATCAGCTGTGGAGGCTGCTCAAAAATAATCCTTCGCGGAATCTTTCCCCGCTTCGTAATTTTTACACTGAGCTATACTTTTAGAGTTCTGGTCGTGTACAGCGATCTGATAACTCCTTTTCCTTTGATGAATGCCAAAGTTCCGGATAAGTATCTCCGCATAAGTGCACTCAAAGGAATCCTCGTAATTTCGTTGTAAATTCATTTGTTACCAGATGAAACTTTCACTTTTATTTACTTCGAAATAGATCGATTTCAAAGTACGACGCTGAAAAAAAAGTTACGGGCTATATAGACATACCGTCCGTTCCGGGCTCAGTGACCGAAAGTTCCGGGTGCTGGATCCGGAACTTTCAGCCTTTGAGCCCGGAACGCGGATGGTACGTCTACATAGCCCGTAAGAACGACTTCCACGGCCGAAAGTTTTTTTTTTCAGTGAAGTTTTGACTGATATCCATCCAACCTGTAGGCTACCTGTAGGGATGGTCTTAAGGGTCCGGGAGGGACTCGAAAATTTGTCAAAGAAAGATTATTTTCGCAATTTTCGAGGATTGCAAATTTTTGAACAACTCCTTTAACATTTTTGGCCTCGCGTTTAATTACTGAAAGATGCTTGCATACTCCCGGTTTTTTCGTTCAATCTACTTTCTGAGTTATTGAATTTGAATTTTAACTCAATAATTTAAGTCCTGAAGTAGTGGAAAAAATCCGCTCTTTTGAGAAGACCGTGAATAAAATGCTTTTGATGCGTTTCTTAATTTTAGCAATAAAATTGCAAGCACAAAAATTCATCGATGTTCATTGAAATGTCTTCCTTTCCAGACCAAGGACTAACAAAATGTATGAAATACTTTCTTCTCAAAATGAACAAGGCTTTAAGTGTCATGAATATAACATGCCAAAAGACATTCTTTCAATGAATGAGGCAATGTTGCGAATAATCGAAACCGTCTCGGACTCCGATACATCCTTAGGCAAGAAATTATGAGGTTTTTCCCGAGATCTGGCAACTATGGTTCTCCTTTAACGGCAATTTAGTTGGCGGCGTGTAACTACTTCCTCCTGCGCGCTACAATCTCTGCCATCATTTATGAGGCAACAAATTATACATGTCCTATATTCCATCGTAGAAATGTCAAAAATTTCAAAAATCATTTAATTTTTTCTTTAAAACTTAAGATGAACATGGATTTACCAAGCATCCCAGAAAACTTAACCTTCGGAACGAGATCATTGTAATTCGAGGAATTTTGTTAATTTGGCAACTAATAAGACCATATTGTAGACGTATGCCTTCAGCAGATTTGCCACCTGCCTGTCTGCCTCTTCTCCGTTGCTGATTTTAGATCAGGAAAATCGAGACAAATCGTCGCTCCTTTGACGTAAGGGCGTATCTCATTTTCCACGTGAGCCCTGTCTCCCATGTAACTCCATGCTTTCCAGGGCTCATGCGGAAATCGAGATACGCCCTTACGTCAGAGGAGCGACGAAATGGCTGATTAGGGCTGCAACTCAAACCTACACCGTGTCTCTATCGAGATGGTTCAATCCATTGAGCCATCAAACTAGATTTTTATTTACGCCCTTCGAACCATTTCCTTTTATTAAAAAAGCCAGTCGTGCGTTACGGTAATAAGAAGTGTTTAATCAAAATTCTCGTCGCACAGTGGATCGAGACAATAGGAAAGGTCGGACAAGATTTAAAAACTTCAAAAGCTCATAACTCGGTCTATACAACATTTTGAGATTCTAAGAAAGGTTTCATGGGTTTCCTCGTAAAATATTCGTCTAGAAGCACCCCTAAAAAATTAAAATGTGACGAAATAAACATCAAAATTTGCAGTTTTAGTCAAAAATTCCATGTCCGACCTTTCTGATTGACCCGATCCACCGTGCGGCGGTTTGAATTACTCGAATGGAAGAATACTACAAGATGAGGAATGAACAAGGTACGAATCAAGGCACTTATTGTTGGTCTTGCAATTTCTCTTCAAAATTTAACGTCGAAAATATTCCTTTATGGTGGTCCGGGAATCAACTCCTAACATAGGTGTAGGTACTTGTACTTGACATTGGTTAAATGAGAAACAAATACATGTAAATAACGTCAGTTGTATAATTTAATTTTTGAGCCATTCGATTCAGATTCACTGAACACCTCAATTTGTGACTGATTTTTTTTTTTTTTTGACGGAAACTATACTTCGTTTCCATAGTTTCTCGAAAAGTTCAAAAAATAGAAGTATGGCCTTTTCAAAGAAGATTTAGCGATAAGAGTGAAAATCAGCCCTCTCCTGGAGTCCCGAGATTTTTGATATTTTATTGTTGATGAATTATATATTACAGAGACATTTTTGTTTCGGCAATGCTTACATTTTGGGCTTCAAACCGGAGGCCAAAATCCACGAAAATGTGTGGGTCTTTCAGTGTTCCATACCAGATTTAAGGAGTGGCCTCAAGGCGTTGTTTGACCATCTTCGCATATTTTAAATCCTAAATGGTCCCAAACAACACAGCCAAGGCTGATTACAGCCACCTTTTTTAAGCTCAAGGTACAATCTAATGTGGAACACAAGAGAAACACAAATGTTCGTAGATTTCGGCCTTCAGACCCAAAATTGGATTAAAGTTTGCAATAAGGAACCACAATTCCTGGCCCATTTTAGAAACAACAAACATGTTATTGCTTTCCCTATGCAGATATGTAATTTTATGGGAGAGCCAGAAATAGTGGTTCCTTATTGCAAAATATAATCCAATTAAGCCTTCACTCGAAGCCAAAAAATGTGAGTATCGTCGAAAAAGAAAATGTCTGTAAAATACACGTCATAAACTGCAAAAAAACCTCGGAATTCCGGGAGTAGACCGATATCGGCCCTGATCGATACTCCAAATTTGTAAGAATTCTCTACGCAAGATAAGAAAAGAGCAGTTAGTCATTGAAAACTCACAGGAAAAGCTTGGATTTGGCGGGAAACTCGCCATCATCCTGATGGGCAGAGCATTGGCGCTCGTTGAGGGTGACGTTGACGAAGATGTTGTGTTCCTTCTGGACATCGGCCAAAACCTCCCTGAGGGACTCCTCGACATCCTTCCAGCTGCAGGCTGCAGGCACACACACCGCCCACTTCACGAAGTCCCGCCTCTCTCTCGCAGGCTCTCGGCTTTTCTGCAAACATTAATACAGCACAATCAGTATTGGTAAAAGTTTAGATTAAGAAAATTAGATCAAATATAGTATTCTTACATATGCATTTGAAGTTTGACAGCTGAAGGAACGGACGCAGGGGATTCTAAGAGCAGCAGAGATGGATTTCTGGAGGTCTGCGGACATTTCTAGAAGAGATCGGGCCCGCAATGAAAATGTGTGCCAGTTCATGGAAGTCAAAAATGACATCGTATTCGACTTCATGACCAGACAGCTTGTCTGGTATGGTCATGTCAACAGGATTGCGGAAGAAAGGCTGCCGAAGAAGATGCTTGATTGGGTCCCTCCTGGGAGGAGACGAAGGGGACGCGCAGTGAAAGGGTGGCGACGGGGGAAGTGAGGAAGTGCCAACTCCCTGACGGGTTTTGGGAGGACAGGGGACTTTGGCGGCTAAAAAGTGAGATCAAAAATTCATGAAAAAGGAGACAATAAGGCCATGCCCCCACGGGACGTTTTCATGGGATTTGTCCCAAGTTCGAATCGTAGGAATGAAACTTCTGGGATTTTTCCCAGTTACCGTCTCCACGGGACGGGGCTCATACGGTCCCGCGACAAGTTTGCGAGGGAAGGTAAGTTAGTAAAAGTCGAGTGTTTAATCGAGATTAAAATAATAATTGAACACGATTGACAATTGGACACATTATTTTAACTAAATAGACACGAACAGTGGAGTAACCAACAAAATATCGTATAGTTCGCTTTCACTTCTTCTTACTCTCTCATGGTCCTAGGGGTACAAGGACCATACTTGGTACTGGGAAAAATATTGATTAACTCAATATTTTTCCCGACTTCGTAAGTGGGATTTTTCCCCTGGGACAAATCCCGTGAAACGGCCCGCGGAGACAAGGCCTTACATTCATCGGTTTTATTGTGAAATAAAAAACTAGAATATAAAATAATTGCTTGGCTTTTAAGACATCGCAATCGATATACCTACAATATTTTGCCACTTTCACCATCAACGTAGTGTTTGAGACTCATTTCAATGAGACAAATTAATATTCCACGATTTTCTCACTATCTTTACTAAAAAATAATTTATGCATGCACGAGTTTCAGATTCTTCAAATCAGATTTTGGTACTCCAAAAAGTATCATTAGTCGCGCGCTTGGTATGGAAATGCGTATGATATTGCATTTTTCCCCTCCTCCTCACAGACTCCCACTGCCCTCCTGTCGACCGACCTCTAGAAAATATGACGTTTAAAGTTGTGAATGAAATTGCTTTTACGCCAATCGGTGACTCATCGGAACACCTCGATTGGCGATCCGCTGATTACGCAAAACCTCGTCCGAACACCAATGCCCTCATTAAAATATTATACAGAATACTTCGCGTATGCAAGAAATAATCTAAAACAAATGCAAAACATCTCATACGAATGAATCATGGGTCCTTCTTCTTACACTCTGATTTTCCGGTGACTTCCGGCGTGTATTTTCCAATTACTCGATAATTCTTTAATAAATTGTTTGAGTTTACCTTTTACTTAAATGTATGTTGTCGATAAAATAGGAGACAAATAGAGGGGAGTCGGAAAAAGAATTAATACTCTTCAAAATTATTTCTTTTCTTTAGTAACACATCGCTGAGTAAATTTGTAGCGTCACACTGTCACGTTTGCCACTAACTCGATGACAAAAGTTTAAAAATCCGTACCTTCCTCGGAACGTTTGATAATCTTCAATTAAGATTTACTTTCATAGAAGCATCATAGGCGATCAAAATCTCCTTTTGAATCTGTCTGCGAATATTTTTGAATGAATTTCGAACATATGCACAAAATTAACAAAAATTGTTGATTATAGTTTTTCTATAAAAAATAAAACGTGAACGGAAATGGGCGACTTTTCATTTGAAGATGTGTTCGCAGGTTTCGACATTCGTCATCAATATTATTGACATGGGTGAAATTTAATTTTTTTGTTTTTTTTTCGTGCGGTTTACACTGTGTCCTATGAGAAAGCTAAACAAGTCACCAAACTCGCCGAGTCAAGTGATCGGGAACATGGTCTCTGTTGGTTGACGGGTTCTACAAAATCTGGGAGCTGGACAAGTTGTCAAGCAATCAAGAAAAACATCCTAACAGGAGTGAATGAATAAAAACGTTTCCCAAATGTTAAGTCGCGACGAGTAGAATGTTTTCGCCCTTTGACATTTCAGAGGAAATATCCAAACCTCGTACCTAACAAGGAGCATTTCTAAACTTAATATAAAAATATATCTCCATCACACTCGTTTGCATGTTTTCCTTGTGTTTGACTTCATCTGGACTTGATTTTTTACATGATGACTTTTATCTTATTTTAAACTTGCAAAATTTGTCACGTTATGGAGAAGTTTTCCGAGGATCGAGGATTATATGGCGCACTTCCCAGATTCATCATGGCAATTCCCAAAATCTGATACCAGAGTCATCCTACTGTCAAGTTCTATATTCGCCGGAAAAAATCATGCGTCTTTGGAGTCCGACTCTGTTTATTTGTCTTCATTTATAATTTAACATTCCGTACATACCATGGGGCGTGGGGCGATCTCTAAAGTGGATCATTTCACGCGCAGTGAACAAAAAAGTTCAGCTTCATCGACGAAAAATTGACACCATAATAAAAGTCCTGGAGAATTATTACCAAAAATCGCACGGTGAGAATTCTCCGTTTGAAAGTTGAGGAGGGACAAAAAAAGTATTATTAAGGAACACATTTTGAAAGGCAGACTTCCGTATGATTCAGGGAATAAGAGTAAATAAATTTCTCTCTGTATCATTACATGCATGAAAATTTTCATTTTGTGTCCAAGTGGGAAATTCAAGATTTAAACTTGTTATCGGCGGCAACCTAAGTTTTGCTCTCTGTGCGGCGAGTTTTATTTTGAGGCACCACGGTATGTGCGATATACTCACCAATATAAGCATTTAACCTTGGGAATATTTGTTGCTTCTAATGCCGAAGAGAGTGATATTTCCTATGGAATCCTCTCTCCAGAAATCCACAACCAACGGCACTAAAGCTTGTTATCCCAGGGCTCCAATGTATTTTATTTTTCAAGGAAAGACTTTGAAATTCAATGAATAGAGAAATTTCGACGGTGAAACTCCAAAATTACGTATCTCTGTTTGCGACGTTGCAGAATTCTTGTCATACTTCATTAATTAAATAAAGAACTACTCAACGTTGATTCTTAAAAAGTTCTATGATTTTTTCCTCTGGGTGCGATGCAAAGTCTGAAAGAACTTCAAGGAATAATATTAATTTATCCTCCTTTAAAAAAGGTAAATTGGAGCTGAGATTTTTGAACACCGCAAACGAGATACGTGGTTTGGGAGTTCCACCGTCGAAATGCTACTGTTGCAGTGTTGCACCAGGTTCCAAAAAATGAAGACATTAGACACGCAACGCCTTCGGCGAGTATATCGGTCGGTGAGAATGAAAGACAAACAACGATTCCAGAAGCGCCTTGATGCAACTATTCGTGCTTAATGGATGCGCGTGTTGCATATACAAAAAATTGAAGGCGTTTCAGTCACCCTTTTACTCGGGAACCAAGACACACATCGGAAACCGGACACCGGATCACCGACAGTTAAGTGGTTTCTCAAAAGACACAAAGAGAACACCCCCGACTTAATCATATCGTTAAAATCGTCATAAAATTGCGATGATATCCCGAATTTTTTCACCGATAACGTAATGGATGGGATAATTTAAAAATAACTTACTTTAACATACTCCCAGACGTTGACATCCGGCGAGGGGCTGAGACCTTCCAAAGGGAAGCTGTAATACTCCGGATAGAGTCGATAAGTGGGCGAGAACTCGATTTTGGCCAGACAGTAGCGGCCGGACACTCCTGGAGCGGTGTCTTGCACACTCACACATTCATCGAAGTTCCCGAGCTGAGATGGTTGTCCGTACAGATAACCGCTCGCAGATTTGGCTGAGGCTTCACGCACTGTAAACAAAATAGGGGTATTAAAATCCATTCTTAAAAAAAGTGTTGAAAAATTCGTCACAGCATTAAACAAATGGACGTATCTTTTGAATATTATAAACATTGTCAAATAGTATATGTACATGCAAATAACTACCTAATAAAGATGTATTTAAAAAAAAAAAAAAAAAATGGATATATCTATGCTACAAGGAACCAGAGACGGTGGGAAAGAACGAGAGTGCTCGTTACTTACAGGGCTATAAGGATGAATGGGAATTGTCTTGCCGTGCCTAGGAAAATCGCCGTATGAACATTCGAGAGTTGCCAAATTTCCTCCAGTTAAATGTTTATTTTTGAGGAGAGTTATAAATATTTTCTCTTTAAATTTACAGATGATACGGATATAATTGCACAGAAAATCCTCTGAAAAATTGCACGGCAAATATTCCCAAGCTCTCCTGAAAATTCGTATTTGATCGAAGGAAATTTGGCAACTGACGAAGGTTCATAAGGCGTTTTTCCTTAGCACGGCAGTGTAAAGCTCCTCTTACGTAGGGGTGTATCTCTATTTTCACGTGAGTCCTGAAAAGCATGGGGTTATATGAAGAACAGGGCTCACGTAGAAATTAAAATGCATGAGGAGCCGGATAAGAGCGCAGTGAATCATGCTTCTCAGCGGAAATTCGATGACCCTTTATTACCATTCCGGAGAAATGATATATCTATTGCCAACTTCATGATAGATATGTCTGAAAAGGACTTGCTTGAAATCGGTGAATTGTGTAGTATGTTCGGCAACGTCCGTGTGTTCTCACCGGAAATTTGTCGAAACTCGAGGGAAATGCAGTCATCGGCCGAAAAAAAAATTTAAACAAAATAAACAGGTGCTCAGGCGAACGCGCGAGCTACGCAAAAGAATTAGCTACGCGCGGAGATTTTTTTCTTGATTTAGGGCAAAAAAACCTCGTTTGGTTGAAAAAAAAATAATGAATGAACAGGACTGGTCTTTTACCTTTTACGCACACTCATTGTATTTTCCCATTCATAAAAGTCGGTCGTATTGTGTGGGAATAACTCTACAAAAGTAAAAGATTGGTGTGTTGCTGATCGTTTGGATGTTTCTTTTTGGATTATGAAATTGAAAAATTAAGGTGTTTTAATTAAATAAATATGTTGATAAAATTGACAGCTCTCTTTAATTTCCTTCAATTATGAATTGCTAAAAGCATCACTAGGTGGGTATGAAAGCATAAAATAAAGTTATCTTACGATGAATTTTTTACAGACATTTCGCATTACTAACGGTGAATTTATTTACTTTCGAGAGACTTAAAGTTTTCAAGGTCTGTGGTTTTTCTTAGCTTTAATTTCTCTGGTCATCATTCCTAATTACGATGCAAAAATAACACAATTAACGAGAGTAAAGTCATGAAGCCAACATTGTTACTTTTAAAACTGCTGCAATCCTAAACGCAGTTTTACAAAGTCCGTTATCGTTCAGTGTCTCAAAACAACGCAAAACGCAAATTGAAAAGAAAAGTATAGATGCCGTCTTGAAACCAATAAGATGGTTTTAAACTGTTTGTAACTGTAGCGTTATAAACTGAAAAGTTCAGTTTTATGCTGACGCAGTTTTTCTATTAAGTCTTGGCACTTACCCGGGCCTTGCAGCAGTCAGCTATTTTGGACCTCCCTTTAGCAAGGCGTGGCGTGAATTGCGATGTATCGATTGTTCTGCCTATGGTAAAGAATCTATTATTAAGGTATTCGCTGCGAACACCCTTTTTATCGATCCTTTTCCATAGGTTTAAATGGCATAACAATTGATATATCGCAAAGCACGCCACGCCACTGCTCCCTGGAGAGACTTAAACGCGCGGTATGCTAACAAAACAGGGATTTTTAAAATTGAAAGGAGAACAAATTCGCGTTCTCTAACTCGTTACTTGACCAACATTCTAGCGTGCCGTTTCTTTTGACCTATGTGTTAATCTAATTTCATAGCAATGATCACTCTCACATAGCTGTTTTCCGGTGTTTTTACGCACATCAAGTTCCGGAAAAAAATTTCAGACTGACATTTTTACATAAGGCATACAACTTCATTGTCTGCGTTAATTGCCCTAAGATGTTTTTCTTTTTTACTGAACAAAGGAGGTGAATCTCCTTTTAAAGAGCACATTTGCACGGAATAAAAAATTTGTTTATAACCGAATTTAAACCATTTTTTTTTCTCTCCACATGTGAGGTTCACTTTAAATTACAAAACATATTTTTCCGAATGCAGACATTCTGTACGATTGTCTTGCACGCGGATACAAAGCACATTGCCTAGCATTTAGTTATTTTAGATTCTATTCAAAATTTTAAATATGTTGCCATCTATGAGCATTATTCTGTAACTAGTTAACCTCTTTTATACAATCAATCAACTTTGAAAAACTTATTTAACTAACAATGAATCCTATTTATTTATCCGTGTGTTCGTTGGGTTTGCTAATCGCGCTATCATTATTTTCAAACTCGATGCCCTTGACGTTGTCCCTCTTACTCAAATAAAAAATGATCAAATCGTCTATTGGAACGTTCTCTGCATCTACGATAAAAACTAACCAACAGCAAAATGCTACAGTACAGTAATAATTAATTGCGCGGGATGAGAGCGTTCGAATTTTCCACGTTTTAATGTCAAAAGTCTTCCACGTCTGTGCTTCAAGGCCCCGCTCATTACGGTATACATAATCATGGTACCTACTTATTTTAGGATGAGTATCGACGGTAAAGCTACCAGACCACGTATCCATTTTGCGGTGTTTAAAAATCTCCATTTCTCTTCTATCGTTTTAAAGGAAAACAACTAAAAATCATTCCTTAAAGTTTTCACGGAGTTCCCTTAACACAGAGAAGAAAAATCACGAGGACTTGACGGTAGGTACTTTTCCATTTAAAACATAAAGTATGGCAGAAATTCGGCAACGTTGCAAACCGACATGCGTGCTCCGGTAGTCTTACCGATATGATATTCGCGGGAAATTTCACGATAGCAAAAAGTAATACCTATTTTTTACAATACGCTGCGATTTCCTTGAACATTTGTTTTAGGTCATGATTGGGACTTAGTCATAGCCGTATTCTAGACAGACGGAATTATGGGATAGTTGGCAAGGTGTATACTTTGTGAAAATCTTTCGAGATTTTTGTCAAAACAAAACAAAAACCAGTTTGATTTGCGATGAGTCTCTGATGGTGGAAAGTCCCGATGAGCAATAAGAGCATTCCACAAACGCTCGGTGGAGCCTTCAATATTCAAGTAATAAAAGTGAGAAAGGATGAGTGAGAGAGGGGGAGAGACTGGGATAGCGATGAAAGGTTAAAAAAGAGGAAACATAGGTATATTGACAGTATCCTCGCGATAAGGATAAAAACACCGGTGGAAATATCTGAGTGCAATTAAGGATGACGCAAGAGAATTCCCTATTTTTCCACTTTCTGCTTTCCTGAAGAATATCAAGACGCAGAAGTGTAAAATTGAGCAGTTATTTTTTCAATCAGTTCTGTTTTGAATGAGGAATCCCGACAATTTGAAAAACTAATAGATTAAATTAAGAAAATTTCCACCAGAGATACATAATGAAAACTTAATTTTAAATTGATTTACATCATAATAATTGAGGATGCGGTGCGTAAAAGCAGCTTTTGCAATTTCAAGGATACGTGTTTTAAAGCTTCAAAATTACGTGGAGCCTCATGGTGAAAAGAAAGTTCAAATTCACTTCTTGATGCTTAAAATAGGATTTTAGTAGTGAACTTTTCAATAAAGATATTTTAAGATTAGTTTTAATTAAATTCATTTATATTACATACAATGTTTTCGAAAGCTTCACTCGTGGGCCCTGTCCTCCGAGCCTCTGCATTAATTATTTATTTTGGGCGCGTTTAGCAGATGGAAAAGCACATCATTTGACCTCAATTATGGGTAAAAATTAGACAAAATATTGGAAGCCTTAGAACTTAAGAGCCGCAACCATATCCCCTGCATTATTGTTCCGTTAGTTCTCCTCATGATGTCACGCCTGTTTCAGTAAATAATGTTTTGTCACTGCAGTTTCACCACTGAAAATGAGATGGGAACCAACCAAGTCTAGAATTATTCTGGGAGAGAGAGCTTCGTTTGGGCCGTGAACTTGAATAAAATCGCGCCAAGCGGCCGAGCCGTTACAGACAGCGCGGAACCCAAACACTGAGGTCATCTTAATGTCTCTACGGATCGAGAAGATGAGAACAGCTACGTCCTGTTCTGGCCTCTCCAGGTCCTCTTCGCTCATCATCGATGACGCAACTTCACGCGACTTTTATGTAAATTACGCGTCGTTAGAATTGGAATATTTTACCCGACTTCCATACCGCCGTGCAAAGGAACAACGCCGCATAATCTATTCGGTCGGATCTATCCAGAATCAGCCAGTGGCGTGGCGTCCTTTGCGACATATCATTTGATCTGTCATAGAAACCTATGGAAAATGATCGATATACAGGGTGTTCGCAACGAGCGCCTTAATAATCGATTCTTTATCATAGCTTCAAATGGGGAAATTTCGATAATCGATCATTCACGCATCGCCACTGGAATCAGCCTAACTGCATTCCTTGTTGCCTAACTTCCTATTAAGTTTAATTGCTGTGACAGAAAACCAAACAACGTAACGACTTGAAACTTTCTATAAATTTCCCGTGGATTATAATGATGATTGGACGTATTTCTCATGCTCAGCTGTCCCAGTAGTTTCATTTCAGACATGGAATTTTCAAAATTTCAGACACCGATTATTCTTCCTGATCTTTTACGATAAAAAATTTGATTTACTCTCCTCTCTTTTTTTAAAACAAATTTTCTCTTTTTTTAAAAAAAAATATTAAACTCATACTCAACCCTCAATAAATGAGGGTAGTTAGCGGCAGAATAAACACACGTGGACGAAAAAATCATTACTACCGTTATCATGAGGAACAACACCGCT